ATATCAGAATCATTTTGTACCTCATAAAATATACATAATTATAACTTGCCAATATCTAACAAAAAATTAATAAGAAAAGAATTTGATCCCTAGAGGAATTCCAGAGTATACCTGGAAGTAGATTTTGCCCAGTATGACTAATTCCAAGATGTAGTAATATTTGGAGAAACAGAGGTTTGATTAGGGTTATTTTGCTTCATTTCTTTCTCTTGCTTTTCTCTTCTTATTTTATACATATACCCAGACACCATTAAAGTAAAAGGATCACTTTCTCTGGCAGATACCACATGTGGATTAGGTATATATAGCATGAGTTCCTATAATATGTGCTTCCCCTGAAATAGACCCTATATACTGTGCATTGCTTTGTTTGTTTGTTTTTAACTTTTATTTTAGGTTTGGGGGCACATATGAAGGTTTGTTACATAGGTAAACTTGTGTCATGAGGGTTTGTTGTACAGATTATTTCATCACCCAGGTATAAAGACCAGAGGACAATAGTTATTTTTTCTTCTCCTCTCCCTCCTCTCACCCTCCATCCTCAAGTAGACCCCAGGGTCTGTAGTTCTCTTCTTTATGTTCACAAGTTGTCATCATTTAGCTCCCACTTATAATTGAGAACATGTGGTATTTGGTTTTCTGTTCCTGCATTAGTTTGCTAAGGATAATAGCCTCCAGCTCCATCCATGTTCCCACAAAAGACAAGATCTTGTTCTTTTTTTATGGTTGCATAGTATTCCATGGTGTATATGCACCACATTTTCTTTATCCAGTGTATCATTAATGGGAATTTAGGTGGATTCCATGTCTTTGCTATTATGAATAGTGGTGGAGTTAACATTCACATGTGTGTGTCTGTATGCTAGAATGATTTATGTTTCTCTGGCTATATACCCAGTAATGGGTTTGCTGGGTCAAATGTAGTTCTGCTTTCAGCTCTTTGAGGAATCACCATACTGCTTTCCACAATTTGAACTAATTTACACTCCCACCAACAGTGTATAAGTGTCCCTCTTTTCTCTGCAACCTTGCCAGCATCTGTTATTTTTCGACTTTTTAAAAACAGCCATTCTGACTGGTGTGAGGTGGTATCTCATTGTGGTTTTGATTTATGTTTCTCTAATAATTAGTGATGTTGGGCATTTTTTCATATGCTTGTTGGCTGCATGTATGTCTTCTTTTGAGAAGTGTCTGTTTATGTTCTTTGCCCACTTTTTAAAGGGGTTGTTTGTTTTCCTCTTGTAAATTTAAGTTCCTTATAGATCTGAGCATTGTTAAGTGTCTGCTGGCTTCATTGTACTTTAGTTGGCAGAAACCATATAGCTTATTACCCATTGTAATCTTAGTGTCTAACATGGAACTTGGAATACAACGTGGATACTTTAAAAATATTTGCTGAATAGATAAATGAATGTCTCAAGCACACAGACAACATGCTAAATGCAAAGCTAGAGGATTTCAGGGCAGGTGTGTTAAGAGGGTAAGTAGATGTGGGAGTTGAAGGAATTGTCAAAGGAGGACTTGAAGTGACACCCCAAGGCATATGGGGCCATATAAAGAAAAAGATAATGGACCAGGTGAAAAGAAACAATCAAGTGATGACAGTCATCATGAAATTACAATATCAGTTCAGTGGGGTAGGAAGTGAACAGCACAGAGGGTTAGGAGGTTGTGGCCAGAATAGGATACTGGATTTTAAGATTTCACAGGTGGAGTTGTTTCAGGTCATTACTAGGTCAAAATGTGGCCTTAGCTGTACTTGGTCAAACCACATGGAATTGCCAATATTTGAATTTTTTACTTATAAAGAGACAGTTTTATTATTCAAACCAATAGTTTGCTAAATTTTAGTGGAGGTGGGGTGACAGTCAAGGACTTTTGAGGTTGAGATGTTAATTGACTCATTCATATAGATTCTGATCCCACTCAGAGTGATTTTAAGAGGTGAAGGGGGAAGAGTGTTGTGTCTAGCTTGGGTGAGGATGGTAGATAACAGTGAAGAGAAAGGATAAAAAACAGCATAGATCAATGACATAGGATGGAGGCTTTAAACAAACCACATTAGATCATAGGGGTAACAGCCTAGCTTGGAAGTTGCAAAGGGCAGCTTGGAGAATATTTCTCCCTACCCTCTTTTGATGCTGGATACTTGGATATCAAGCAAAGTACCAATGTCTGGGACAGATTTACCAGATTTACTCACTCACTCAATTGGCTTATCAGAAACTAAAGAAACTAAGGCCATTGTGAGTCAATGATGGCATAAGGCAAAAATTTGGCTTATTTTATCTCCTTTGACAATGCAGATCCATTTTGCAATAAACTTTCCTATAACCCAGAGTACATAAGAATGCTTTTTCTTTGTTGTTCTCTATTTTCTATCTTATCTACATGATGACATTTATCTCTTCTTCTCTGAAGTCACATGGTATGCCTCTCTGCAGGTTACTACCATATCCCATGCTACATTTCTCTGAGTTCACCTAAATGGGAAATTAAAATCTCAGTGAGTGAATTATTGGAAATTTTCCAGGCGAAACCCATGGCAACCATGTTCTATGAAGTTGGGACCTCAGACTCATTTGTCACATGGAGCAGGTAAGTGGCCTTCTCATCAGGTATGTGCTTGGTTTGGTTTTGTAACATTCAGAAGAGGACTCCAAACTGACCCTTGCAGAGCCTATAGCTTGCAGTGAACACCAAGAATGAGTTATTAGACGATTCCAGCTGAGCGGAGCGGGGACCACTCTTCTGAGAGAGAGTATCACCCCAGAATCTATCTGCCAAGTATTTATTGAAAGGGCTTGTTAAACTACAAACATCCACTAGATGGCCTTTTGAGGTCGGGTCGCGAGGCATCTATGGCCTTGTAAAAGCTCCCCAGCTGCATTCTCGGGAGGCTGTTTTCAGCGTTTCTTATGACACACTCCATTCCTTGTCCTGTTTTCAGGGTCAAGGAGTTACATTCCCATGCACAAATATCATACACACAGTGCCTCAGTATTTTTCCATGCCCCCAACCTCAAATGCCTTGTACACAAGCTTGAATATATTGCAATGCACCCCCAACAACCCTGTGACCATTTGGCTGGCAAAGCAACTGGTTGTGCCCTCAATAAACAGTACTGACTTTGGGAACATCAGGGTCTTCATAGTCTTGGAACTCTCTACTGTTCAGTTTTTATAACAAATTTGTATGTAAGAGACATGGGTCCTAGGAAACAGCCTGAAGGACACGCAACCCATTCACTCCAAATTTCACCTCTGGGGCAAGCTCAAGAGCTAATTGCTAGGCCTGCAATTTTGGGGTCCCTGTATAATTGCCTTTCCTGAACAATGCTGTGGTGTTGCTCCTTTGGCTTACTGTGAAGGATGTAATTAGCACTATATTAAACTTGTTGTTATGATTACTGTAAGAATGCTGCTGCAGCCCTTAACATCACAGTGCCCTAATAAACTGAGGATCCATAGATAAAACTTCTCCTGGGTCTCATGACTAGGAAAAGCCATGCTTCTCCTGAGCTGCTTCTGGCTTGCTTTTCACTATAGACTCTGTTAATCTTGTTACTATATACGCCTCATTTGTCCTGCCTACTTGCCACAAAGTGAAATATGTGACTTGGCTGTAGCAATTGTACAGAACATTGTATTAGGCATTCGATGTGGTGATTTTTCCTTTAGTTTTTCTTCCCCCATGCATTCTTTATAGGTTTATAGCTGACCACTTCTTCTAGTTTTTATTACATATTTTATTTCTTTATTTTTATGTTTATTGCATGTATCACTAAGATGCCTCAAATCTGGTTTTGAAATAAGAAAGGTCTACACATAAAGAAATTTGGGGTGACACAAAAACGATATGCTAGATATTTTGTTTTCAATCATAAAGAAAGCCACCCACATCTTGAACTCATTGTGCTAATAACTGAGAACTCCAAACAATTTTCACAGGAATATCTACTCCTGCAGGCACTGGAATCTGTGACTAGTCCTTCATGAGGACTGCCATACTGCTAGGCCTACACTTGCAGCCCTTTTTCCTCTTCTCCTTCCCTTTTCATCTGTCATGCTACCGGCCTTTCTCACGCTTATTAAGGCCTTCATGTGGTTCTCCGAGACTCCCTTCTCAAGCATATCTCTGAGCATTTCTGCCTCCTGACTTCAAAAATAAATCCTCAAATGCTCTTTTTAGTGTACAGGAAAAGGCCAATGCTTACTTATCTTTCTATCCTTAGAACCTAGCATTGGCCTGGAAAATAATAAGCAGCTGGTGTACATTTGTTGAAAGAACTGAATTACATTAAATAAAGTAATGCATATAAGGCATTAGTTGGGCCCTTGGACAAAGTACACAATAAATATTTTTTTCTCAATCACTTTCCCTTCACACCTGGCCTGAAGCTACCTTTCCCACCTTATCCCCACTGCCATGGCTTAAAGCATCGCTAACTCTTGTAATTTCATGCACATAACATTCATTTCTGTGCCTAGAGAACTTTCATTATGCTGTTCTTTCTTTCTTCAATGCCATCACTTCCTTAAATGCACCATCATTGCTCAAATTTAGAGAAAATAAGACATGTTCCTGGTGATGCTGGTCCAAAATCCCTATATAACAAGTCATGACTTTTATATTTAAATAATTTAGTTTGGTCTTTTCTTCACCAAAAGAAACCAAACAACTTTTAGCAACTCTGTTAGATTTATGCAATTGCATGTCTTTTTAAGGGGCAAAGCTCCTTAAAACAAATAAAAACATTCTTCCATTTATTGATGCAAGCCCTGTTTCTTTCTGGTATTCAAATTCATTAATAAAAGACTCAATGATTATTAAATTTTTGGATTTGAATGGATAATTTTTATGCATATATACCCAGTTGTTTAGCATTTTATTTTATCGCCCCCTACAGGAAGTCTAAAATACATTTAGTATATCGCCCCCTCCAGGAAATGCATTTAATATATCGCCCCCTACAGGAAATCTAAAATACATTTTAACATTTTATAATCAAAAAAAAAAAAGATGAATGATTTATTTTATTTATCTCACAAAAATTCAGCCCTAGCCTATTGACAGCTGCAGTTCTCCTATCCACTTCCACATAATTTTTAAAATGTGAATGCCAGGAATGGTGCTGTTGATACTAATATTAGGACAAGGAGCAGACGTTTCATCAGGACTAGGTGTCTCTGGCGGAGTCTGTGGAGGAATAAACAAAGATACTCGTGCAATGTTGGATATTTCTGATTTTAGATCAGCCTTATCAACAGCCTGAATAGCAATGAAAAGATCTGTGCCATTTTCAAAAGTAATGTTTTCTGGTTTAAACAAAAAGACTTCCTCAGAGTTGGCTTCCTTTGGGATGAGAGCAGTAGTATTCACTTGAAGAGATTCATTGAACTTATCTCTGAGATCAAGAATACTTGTACTTATTCGAATGATATACTTGTGAGCTAAAAAGAAAAAAGAAGAATGTGACTTCAATTCTGAAATCTTAAAGAAACTTCCTAAGCTGTAGAACTTTAAAAAATATTTAAAAAGCTTTAAAAGTCTATTAGAAATTATATCATTACCCCATAAGATTCCCAAATAAATGAACCGATGGTCCTATTTACAAGGGTCACTATCTCTTTTACATTCTTCTTTGTATATAATGACACAGTGATAAGCATAAAACTGGATTGGGCATGACTTAAAGCCTTGGTCAGCATTTCTGGGCATAGTGCCTGGCAGAAAGAACAGGTTGTTTAAAAACTGTTTATTATTTTATTATTTATAGAGGGAGTTTGCACCAGTGCTTCTCAAACTGTAATGTGTATACAAATCACCCAGGGATCTGAAAATGCAGATCTGAAAACACTTTCTAACAAGTGTTCATGGTATCCGCATGCTGTAGCCCACAGACTGCACTTTGAAAGAGAAAGTCTGATAGGACCTGAGGTTCCTTCCAAAAGAGCTCTGCTCTATAGATATCTATGCTCTATTCCCAGTTCTTCCCCAGGAGTCACTGCTCCCCAGAAAATGGAGTTTGTCAAAGGACAGTTTGGCAAGGTTTCAGAAACTAAGTGAGGTTTACCTTTCCTGGCTGAAACCTCTTACTTCCAAAGTATACCAGTTTTTCAGGTTTTAAATCTCTCTTCTTTAAATACATTTATCCCTCATTTCAAAGGACCAGCAAGATCCCTCCTGCTTTCTGCCCCCAAGCATCAGAACACGGGTGCCTGCCTCACCCGCTTCTGCTCCTCTGCTTGGCTGGTAAACTCCTTTACAGGGTCCACACCAGGTTCAGCTTACCTGTTCCATGGTCATAATCATCCCCAGGAGCTGTCCAAGTCAGATTAATGAGACTGTGCCCGTGAATTTCCGCCTTCAGGTCAGTGATTTGGCAAGGTGGGAAGAGATCAGGTATGGGAGCATTTGGGACACCAGAAGCCACAAATGAGCCTCCCGAGGATGTTCTGCTGAAACATACTTGCTTGCGTTGAACATCGTCCTCAATTTCAGGTCTTGGTGGATTCCATTGTATTTCATCTGCATTTAAAAAATTATGCAAAATATGGTAAGCAACATCACTAAATGGTGATATCTCCGTCTGTTTTATTATCATATCACCCTCTTCCTATTCCCCACTTCTGCTTCTTTCCTTCCACACACAGAATTAATTTTAAATATTTGGAGACAAGACCCCAAATACGGTTTCATCAGAGGGAAAAGAGCAAACAGAGAATCACAGCTTTTGATCTCTTAAGATATTTCCTGGATATTTAGTGGAATAACCTTTTGGAATTTATTTTCATGACATTTGTCCTGAAATTGCTTCTTTTCCCATCTCTTTGCCCATCCTGATCTTGTCTTTCCGCAAGATCAGTTTCAATACTACCTCTGTTTTTCCTTTCCTTTCCTGTCCTGTCCGGTCCTGTCCTCTCCTCTCCTCTCCTTTCCCTTCCTTTCTTTCGTTTCTGTTTTTGAGACGAAGTTTCGTTCTTGTCATCCAGGCTGGAGTGCAATGGCGTGATCTCAGCTCACTACCACCTCTGCCTCCCGGGTTCAGGGGATTCTCCTGCCTCAGCCTCCTGAGTAGCTGGGATTACAGGCATGTGCCACCACACCGAGCTATTTTTTGTATTTTTAGTAGAGATGGGGTTTTACCATGTTGGCCAGGGTGGTCTCGAACTCTTGACCTCAGGTGATCCACCTGCCTCGGCCTCCCAAAGTACTGGGATTACAAGAGTGAGCCTCTGTGCCCGGCCTAAATACTAACTTTGTTTTAAACCTCAGACTGCCTCAAGAAATGTCTTCCACCTAAATAATAGTGTGGGTTTCATTATCTTTCCTATTTATTTGGCAACTAATCAACTGGACCTTCAAGAATGCCTTGATTTTTTATGCATATTTCTTTCACTTTCTCCATGTTTGTGTTTCCTGTTTCTTATTAAATTTCAGTTTTTAATGAAATGTTTTATGTTAGAGGTTCCACAATTTTGTGCTTCTGAAAGACTTCTGATTTTCTTAGTAAATGCATGGGAATGTAGTTATTGTAGTAATTCCAATTTCATTCACATTCTTGTCAAAGATAGGTATAAAAGTAATCCTGGAATTTAAAAAATACCCTGGTCTGTTCAATCTATAGAGTTCTCAAGTTCTCTTTTCTTTTCAATAAAAATATCTCATAAGATCCTAACATGGCATTACTTAAAATTTGTTTTCTCATAAACTCTACCTCTTTATAAAATTTTTATCTGTTAAAGACCATTTAATCTTCATACCCATTAATCTGGTCTTTGGCAAAGATGAAGTGAGTGCTCTAGCAGGTTCAGGGTTCATATTGGAAGCACCAGTAGAGACTGCCGTTAAGGCTTATCGAGGGATAGAGGGAAGAACATGGCCTACTGTTATGCCAGGCACTAACACTATTAGTGATATGAACCCATAACCTCTCTAGCTTCTGTTTCTCCATCTTTAAAAATGGATACTTACAAGAATGAAATGTATTACTGTAAGTAAAATGCTGTGATAAGGCTAGACTTAGTCACTTAACCAGTCCCCTTCTGCCTCCTTCCCCTAACTCAAAAAGCAGTGGCATTGGCTGGGCGCAGTGGCTCACCTTGTAATCCCAGCACTTTGGGAGTCCGAGGTGGGCAGATCACAAGGTCAAGAGATCAAGACCATCCTGGCCAACATGGTGAAACCCTGTCTCTACTAAAAATACAAAACTTAGCTGGGCATGGTGGCATGCACCTGTAGTCCCAGCTACTCGGGAGGCTGAGGCAGGAGAATCACTTGAACCCAGGAGGCAGAGGTTGCAGTGAGCTGAGATCACGCCACTGCACTCCAGCCTGGTGACAGAGCAAGACTGTCTCAAAAAAAAAAAAAAAAAAAGAAAGAAAAAAGGCAGTGGCATCTTTTAAAACATTTCCCCTCTATTATCACCTTTGCATGAGGGACACCATGTGTCTCTGAATCCTCTCTTCACTAAGCACACAGCCAAGTAAAGATGATAGTGGGAAGGTTCTCAAAGGAGCTCTTCTCCTTCCCCCACACCAACATCAAGAAAAAGCCTGTCCAGGACAGGGTGGAGATTGATGGAAAACTAGTCCGGGAACCCACTGGGACACAAACTTGGTCTCAACTCCTTCTCTAGTCCAGGGCAAGTATTTGTAACCAAAAGTGGTATGGGATTGTCTGTTTCATGGACATAATTTTCTCACCTGCTTACACGTGGGCTCAGTGTGCTGGCCCGCGTGAAATTCATCTACTATGCTCCCTGGCCTGAGCAGGAGGAGAAAAGAGGAAAGACAGACAGTGGACTTGGATAATGATATTGATGTAGATAAAAAACCCTAAATTATTGCTTTTTAAATTCTGTTTAAATGATTCATTAGGATAAATTAGAAATGCTTCAATGGAAAGAACTTCATTAAAAATGTTTTTAAAATAATGATAAAATCTTTATTAAATACTATTTACCAGTAACAGTGTGTTGGGTTAGATGTGTTATTTATTCTTTGTGACCATACTATCGGGTAGCTGCCATTATTATCCTTATTTTACAACTGAGGAGAGTGAAGTACAAAAAGATTACACAAAATACTGTATTTGATAGAGGGCTGGGCTTTGAAGTAAGGCAGTCAAAAGCTGTGTTCTATCGAGTGATTTTCAGCTGGGGGCTAGTTTGCCCCCCTAAGGGACAGTGGATGACATATGGAGACATTTTTGATTGTCATGACTAGGGAATTGCTATTGACAAATAATGGATAGAGGTTAAGGATGCTGCTAAACATCCCACAATGTGCAGGATAGCCCTCCACAACAAAGGATTGTCTGGCTCAAAATCTTAGTAGTGCCAAGGTTGAGAAACCCTGATTTAATCATGCACCATTCTGCCCCACAGGCTTAATAGTTTCCTCTTGAAACCAATCCTTTTGCACAAGCCAGGTGTGTTATTACAGATTACTTACCATTCTCAATCCAGCCAGGTATGTACATTACTCCACTCTGCTGGGGTATCGCTCTCTGTCTGACTGCGTTAACTCCTCCCAGAGCCCGTACTTTTACACTGTATCTACCATTCGTGTCATAAGTTGTGAAATACCTTGAGTAGACACCGTCATCCTTAGCAGCATCAGCACCTTGATAAAGAATGAAGGAATTAATAAATATCCTAAAGGTAACTGGGAGGGTATTTGTATATTTCCAACTCATATGTAGGCTAAGAATTTTCAAAGCAATAAGAAATTCAGCATTAGCTCCAAGAGACCTTAAGATTTTGGTGTGTTGAAGGTGAGGCTTACTTCTTTTATCACTGTGTGTGTAGTGTGTGTGGTTTTAGGTATACATTCTGTCTTCTTGAATTCTTGACTTTTTTAACGAAATCTAAGATGATATCGTTTCTTTGTTACACCCAACATAGCATAAGGTAACTAGTCAATAAGTATCTGTTGAACTAAATTAAACTGCTATATGCAACTGTGGAGGAAAAAAATGTTGTATGGTTATTTAATAAAACTCATGACTTCTCCCCAGGGTAGATTTAGGTGGGAAATTCATTCACAGGATTCATTCTAGTAAGGTTACTTGCTTCACAGTAAGAAGACATGTTTTTTTCTAAAAAGAAATGTAGAATTCTCTTTCTCTCTCTCCCCGATAGACTTCTTAAAACAAGAATAAGGGGCAGAATTTTCACTTTTGGGGCAAGCTAACATAGAATCTGCATAGATACAGGAATCATATAGGACTGTGCTTGAATCTATGTCTGCTGCTTTCTAAATATGAAAGCCTCAGTGAAGATATTGAAAAACAAAGATTATATATGTCTTTGTATATATGCATTTGTGTATATATACATACAGACGTGTGTGTATATGTATGTGTATATACAAAGCACCTACCACAATATAGTTACGAATTTTCCTCTTTTTCTTTTTTTGGGGTTTGTGGAATATCCTATGACAACTCTCTAGAGACTCCGAATCCATTGAGTTTGAGCCATTAATGTGTTTTAGGCCTTGCAGAAGCCTTCATATTTTCCAGCATTTTGAAATGTAGGAATTGTGGGGAAATGGAGAACTTTCCCAACCCGACCCCAGTGCTGTTCTGCCTTGCCTGTCTAACTGCCCTCACCAGACTGTGCCCTCTTGGCATTTCCTGGTTGCTTCTTGGAAAAAGAAATACATACTTTCCAATTTCTTGGGTGATTACCTGCTCCATTATCCAGTAGTTCCAAGGTAACTGTTTTTCCATTCTCTGATTCAATCAGGGCTGTGACACTGGCCCTGAGAATTGGAGAGGCTCCTTGGCGAATATTTGCATAAACTATCATAGGGCTGGGGAATTTGCCAGTGTCCTTGTTCATTTTGGAAGTCACTGTAATTGGAGGCAGGGTAGCACTGGATGCACGGGACGTGACAGTCAGAGTCAAGGTTTGTGAGCTTGCTTGCAGACTGTATTTCCAAGTGCCAACCTGAACCAAAACGCATGTAAACATTTCCAATGAATAACTTCAGGTGACACAGACCTGACTTCAGTGTCACGTACAGGAAAAGCCTCTGATACAAGCATGTTGGAAGCATTCTAAGAAGAGGTATGCATGTCTGATACTCTGGCAGCCACGGGGAGCTTCAGTGTTTGAACTAACTATATCATTCCCATTGTCAAGAAAATTCCACGGGGGGTGTCAGGGGGATGGTGAAGTCTGAAAGCTGTATGTTTATTGTTGCTTTGTTTTTATAAGAGACGAGTCTCTGAGATAAAGCAAATCATTTTTGTGATCCCAAAACGTCGAGGATCATTTTGCATCTTGATTACTATGTAATTTGAAGGTTCTCCATTTAGTACCTGGACAAAATATCACCTATTTCCTTTCTCTTTACTTGCTGGCATACTGAGTGATTTTCATTGGATGGAGACTTTTTTCCTTGTTCTCTCTTTGATTCAATACTGACTCTCCTTTTAGCAACCACCAACATTTAAAATGCTACAATTATACTGTAAAAGCTTTATTTTATCTTGTTGAATTATGAGAAACAAAAAAAGCTGACTTCATACCTTAGCAATGCCTGGGATTTGGAGGAAGGCCATTTTGGTGTTTTTGTCCACTACAAAGCCATCTTGCTTCTGTCCACTGGGATCCCAGAGAAGGATTTGGGGAGGCTGTGTTGTCCAGGTGACAAGAAACAAAGTGTCCTTTCCCACTGTGCTGTCCACGATCACTGTGCCATTCATCCACTGGCTGTTCTGGAGGGTTGATCCCTTACTCTCAAGCTGTTAAGAAAAACAGCTCTTACTTTCTGGAGAATACAGCTCCCATCACATGGTCTTTTCCCTTCTGCCCCTGTCTTCCCAGTGCCCCATCAAAAAGACTTCAGTGATGCCTGAGTCCTTGATTTGGTGTTAGGAGCAATTATGATGCAGTGCTAAGTTATCTTTCTAGCCTTAGCTTCCACAATTTCCCTTCCTCCACCCAAACAAGACCTTTTCCCCAAAATATCCTTGTGAATCCCTGACTCTTTGACTTTATTATCATATTCTTTACTTTTCCTAGAAGGCTTTACATTTGTCTTCCCCATTTATCTAAGCCTTCTTAGTCTTCTCTATTTGTCTAAGCCTTACTCATCCTTCAAAATTCAAATTTTACTTTCTCTGTAAAGTTTTATCTGCTGTCCATCTCATTTACCAGTTGTAAAAAATTTCCCCTTTTCCTCTGATCTCCTATAGGATTTTATTTCTATCAATTTATTTATTTCTATCAATCCTTTGACATTCATCCAATGTGTGACACCCACACATTGTGGGTGAAATTGTCTGAATTACCTAATTGCTAGGTCAGGGAGTATTGCAGGCCCTGTGAGGATAAATGAAGTAAGCCAAGGCCAACTTGTTTGGAATAGATGAGGGAGCTGCAGAGCAGGGAGTGAGGCAGGGAAGACTTTTTTAGAAAATGTGATTTTGAGGATTATCTCCTAGGTAGTTATTGTCTCAAAGTTAGCACCTATTAGAAGACAGACTGGGCTGGTCATGGAGCCAGATTTCCTAGTTTCACGGGTAGATTACAAGCTGGCATACGGAGAAAGTAAAGGGCTATTAGACCTGGTTCTTGTGGCACGCTGGTGAATGAGTCTTGCTCATTTCTCCATCTCTCTCGCTGTCTCTCTGTTAAGTTTCTTAAATACAAAAATCACAGGCAGAAATTTCCTAAATGTGAACTTGTCCTTTTATCACTTTAATTACTTTTCTAGGACACATTCCTCCATTTTCCCAAACCAGGCCCTTAAGTTTAATTTTCTAAATCTGAACCAGAATAACCCAGATGGGTATAATTGGTGTCTTCCTAGATTGAATAAATGCTCCATTGATAAGCCAGAAAGCCTATGGTTTCAAAATCTGTCATTATTAGGCTTTGACATTATGGTATTCCTTTACCTTTATCTGAACTTTCATCATAAAAATTATAATTCACACCAATGTGAATGCTGATTGTTCACTCTCTCTAGTTTAAAAATTAACGAGAATGATTTCTGCAATTACTTAAAAAAAGCATTGAAAAAAATGCATTTTTTTTTCTTTTTTCTTAATAGTCCCAAGACTTTTGAAAGGCATTTTGGTTTTTCCTGAAATTTTAGAACCAGATGGGCCGTTGGAAGTTTTCTGGTCTACACCTGGTAGAGAAATGAAAGTCCACAGAGGTGAAGTTCATTGCCCAGGTCACATAGTTAATGACAGACCCAGGGCCAAGATACAGGGGTCTGGATTGATACCACTGGCTTTTTACAGTACAAAGCACTTTCTGTCCATTATATGTAAATCTTGGCAAACATCAGAAATTTGATGTAATGGAAAAATAAAACAAGTAATCCCTGGACACTTGTCCCAGAAAATTTCTAATTGAGATGATCTACTCTGAAGAAAATTCTGAGCCAACTACATTGCTCTAGTTGCTTGTGTAGAGATGTTAAAAAAGAATTCTTGGACCTACGACATTTTATCTGCTGATTTCTATGAGGAAATCACTTGGTATTGCTTCCAAACAAGTGAACACTAATTGCCTTATTTAAATGAGTAGTATTGCATTTTAGGAATAATGTCTAATATCAGGCTGGACCTTCTATTTTAATTTTAATTCAGTACCAGAAGAGTATAAAACTTAAAACTTTTAGTCATTAAATGCTTCATCTTGGCTATGATTGTGTGTAAATATGAAAAACAAAGATTAAGAACTCCAACCTGGATGGAGCGCTGAGAGACAACTCCATTTCCTGATGAAAGTGCTCCAAAAGCATCAATGAGGCCATTGTTCTGAACTTGATCTGAAGCATATGTCCGTAAACCTCCTAAAATGCAATACATTTTCAGAAATTACTTACCAGAAAGCAAATATTTGCAACATTTTAACTGTTGTTTAGAGAATATACAAAATAAATATCCCATTGTGTTATTAAAGTATAAATAGATCAACATCAAATAGGTGCCTACATTAACTCAGACTTTGATACTATTTTAACTTACTTATTTTTTTCTGAGACAGGCTCTTGCTCTGTTGCCCAGGGTGGAGTACAGTGGCATGATCTTGGCTCACTACAACCTCCACCTCCCAGGCTCGAGTGATCTTCCTACCTCAGCCCCCAAATAGCTGGGATTACAGGCATATACCACCATGTCTGGCTAATTTTTGTATTTTTTTTTTTTAGAGATGAGTTTCACCATGTTGCTCAGGCTGGTCTTAAACTCCTGGGCTCAATGAATCCACTTGCCTTGGCCTCCCCAAATTCTGGGATTATAGGAGTGAGCCACCAGACCCAGCCACTAATTGTTAAATCTTAGTACATAATAGCTTCAGCAACATCTCAGTCACCTGGTTACTTCAACTATCTGCAAAGCAGCCATGAATCTCTGATACGATTTGATATCAATTTATGGTATAAACTTATGTCATGAAATCTACATATTAAAGGTCCTGCACTTTTACATGAGAGAATTCATTAAGACGTACTCCAAGACTATTGATTTACTCTTCTTTGAAACATAATTCTAACAAACCTGGCTTTAGAGTTTTCTTCTAAATGAGGAAAGACAGATATGTGACAACAGCAAGAAACAACAGTGGACAAAGGGACAGTTACAGAGTAGTATATTGTAAAAACAGGATTTTACACCAGGCCAGGCAGTCTTGGGCTATTTAGAATAGGTGTCACTAAGTTAGTTGATGCGAAAGCACTTTTTAACTATTATGATTCCATCTGAAGTTAAGGAAATAATTTCAGTAAGGCTGTTGATGCCCCACCCACATCTCTGTACCCAGCCAAGTGCATCTCTTCCCAGCTGCTCTAGGCATTGGCTTATAGCTGCCTCCTCTTCCAGAGAATTGTCTTACTAAAAGGGGCCACGCTACCTAGAGAAATAACATGCCCCTCTCCTCTGCCCTGTTCTGACAGTCCACAGTCAAAGACTGATAGACACAATGGTGCAAAAGGCCACCCTCCTGCCTCAAGGTGAAGACAAGTCTGTGATGCACTTTCAATTCCAGAGTCCCCTGGGGGCGCAGTTAGACTCTGACTACGTCTGCATCGGTGCTTAGCTCCTTCCTTGGCCCTATCCTTTCCTCCTTCCTTTTCTCCTGAGCACTCTCTCCCCTATAAATTGCATGCACCCAAATCCCTGTCTCAGACTCTGCTTCTAAGAAACCCAGTCTAGGACAGGTAGTATTAGGAATACACAGCTCTGGCATTTTAGTGGCCTTAGAAGGCAACTCAGTATGATAATTGAGATCCACAATATTATCCCTAAGTTAAAAAAGGAAAAAAATGTGTTCACCTACTCTTCTAAAGAAGCCGGAAACATATGGAATCTATTTTAACCATCTGACTGTGTATGGGAGTTAGACACACAATACGTTAAGGTTTTATGGAGAAACTGCATTGTATTCTATTTTGGGAGTGATCTTTTGCCTTGTTTAACAGGCTCTTTGCCCTTCCTTGCTACTCCTCCTGTTTCTTGAACGCTTCTTCTCCAGGTAAAGTTAAAGGCTCCCTTATTTGTGCTTTATTGTACTTTCTGTTGCTAATGTAGCACTTGTGCCATGGTGTTATGTAGTTAGTAGCTTGTCATCTGTCTCCTTTGGGTCTCTTGGCCAGCTGCCACTGGAAGGGAGTGGTTCTTGGCCCAGGAAGAAGGTGTTAAGTCCTCACTAGAGTGCTGTGCTAGTTCTCTCTTCTCCAGGCTGCCCTAGTCCTAGATCCAAAGCTTTAAAATAAATGAGCAGAGTCCATTCAAATAGTCATTTGGGGGTAAGGGTGGCTAGTTGGCCAATTAGGTTATCTTCTCTCTCTCCATCCCATCTTTCCCCCACTCCCTAGTTCACTGGAGCTCACAGTCCAGTAGGAGAGACAATACCGGGGGTCTCAGCAAATCATCCCTCACCTGTCATTGTGGACAGTTCCTCTAGTTCTCGAGCCGCAGAGGGCCCCAAGGCGACTGTGTGGATGATGGCACCACTTTGTTTGACCTCGTTAAAGCACCCGCTTATAGTGTTGTCTTCCCCATCTGTCAGCAGCACAATTTCAGATCCATCAGTTGGATATTTCTTCTTAATCACCTAAGGACAGAATTCAGGTCATGAGTTATCAGACTCAGGGTGGCCAAGGTGTTTATGAAAATTCTGCTGACAGGAAAGGAGAAAAGAAATTCCAGAAGGAATAAACCAAAGTGTCTGGGAATGACCAAATATCTGTCTGCCTTGAAATGATACAATCTTAACCCAGCAGCATTCATGGAACTTGACTGCTGTCTTTCCCCTTGGCTAGTCTGCTGCAGAGAGGGATGGTGTGGGATGCAGGGTAACTCTAGGGGTGGACAGCACTGGGGAAACAGCAAAGAAGATGTTCCTAGTTTCCTTCACGTGGTCTCTCCTCGATAGGCTTTCAGAGCTTCCAAGACGCCTTCAGAAACCATCCTCATTTAATGGGGATTATATTGGGGGGATGGATATTAGACCCAGGGCAGACTTGAATTTGTATGATATTCACTAGTCGGACAATACCAGCTATTTATGCCTGGCATTGGTTTTGATTGGTCATTACCTAGGTCACATGAGTTGTCAATATTTTTAACAGTCTTTCTGATTAAAGCAAAACATTTCGTTTCCATTAATCTCAGTTCCTAGTTGTTTTGTGACACCTGTGTCTCAACTATTCCTGGTACATTCGGATTATTTATTTATTTTTTTACATGGCGTAGAGAGGATACTCCTGCCAATTTGAATAAGATTAGGATGGGAGGAAAATTAGATAAAATAATAATTCTATCTATTTAAGAAGAGAAAGCAAGAGTCCATTCTTCCCCTAAAAAGAGTGGAAGGAGAGACCCAGAAAAAGGGGAAACAAGCAATCAAGCCTAAGCATCTCTCTGACCTAGAATCTCAGATAAGAAGGCATCCTCCAAAGGCCTAGAATCTCAGAAAAGAAGGTGTCCTCTGAAAGTTGAAGGCAAAGGGGGCTTCCCCCTCTCTCTCTGTTTCAGCTATTAGAGGAGGCTGCCTTGACTCCCTGGAAGAGAACAGAACTGTGACTGTTGCTGTATCAAGGAGCCCAGAGCCCAGAAGCCTATCAGCTGTGATCACGGCTTTGGCCTTACTAAGCTGCAGGCCAGAGAGGCCCAATTTGGATTTTCTTGTCTCACTTCCCATAACTACTGTGTGTCATGGAAAACAGGCAAATGTTCCCATATATCCTAAAGGAGAGACAGAAGACAGCTGAGTTGAGTGTTGGCAGGTGAGAGAAAGATAATCCTGCCTCAGAGGTTGAGGAGTGTACAGTGTGGCTAGAGGCTGGATGGAGGACAGGGTGGTGCTCAGGGCTCCTCTCCAACAGGGAGAGCCAGGGTGGGACTGAGTCAGTGGGGAAGGACCACTGGGCCCTGAGCAAGCCAAGAGAACAAGCCAAACTGCTATGGCTACAGCAGACACCACTGCAAGGAGCCCAGGGCAGACCTGACCAGGGCCTGCAGCAGGGACTAGCAGGGATCTTGAAGACAGTATAACATCCAAGGTCCTTTGCCTCATCACCCTGAAGGCACATGAGTTTCTCCCACCCCAAACCCAGACTCCACTCCAGGAGGCATCCTAAATTCCACTGGTATAGCACTCTCTCTCTTACTCATCTGAACGGAAAATGCAGAATCAGAAGTTCTCTCTTCACCACCATGCCATCTGGCATTAGTCATCTCCCCTAGGGTCTTGCACAGCGAGAGTTTGGTACAGCACATCAGTGATTTCATTGTCTGTTTTCCTCCCTTATTTGCTCCTTTAGTCAAGGCTTGGGTGGGTGACAGGGGTAATAAAATGCAGATGCATGCAGGCATCTGGAGAAGGGTTTCGTAGCTGACTGTATATGCAATAGAAACCACTTTCAGGCCCAGTGGTCCTTCCCCACTGATCTTCAAAGTGGACCAAAATGGTCAGCGGGACAGAAGCACTTGAAGAAATGGTCAAGCCCATTGTCCACATGAAGCAGTGTCAGCTGGAAACTACAGATTTCCGCTGCCATGTGGGAAACTGGAACAGCACTATTGAGTGTGATGTGCCCAACGAGCAGGCTTAGGGCAAACTTGCCTAAGATACTGCGAGGTTCTGAGACCTTATCCCTGCCAGCCCCTTTCAATCTCCTATTCTGTTTCATGTGGTTAAAATAGCCTCCAGGTAAAGATGGATTATTGCATTTTATACTTGCAGCAACTAAACATCAGGTGCTATTAGTGCATCAAACAATGAATTCAATTTTATTTACTAAGAACCTCCTGCATAAATGATATTGTGCTAGCAGTCTAGGAGGTAAGAAGATAAGTCCTATTCCTAAAGTAGTTCTTCTCAATTACAATGGATAATTAGAATGTAAGACAGACTAGCTAGATGTCATAAGAGGGAATTTCTTTTAAGAGTTATAGGGTTTAGGAAGCAATTCTATATGGTTGAAAGAATTAGGAAAGATGTCAAGAAGCAGGTGGTGTCTGAGATGGGTCTTTGAAGAATGAGCATGATTAAAAGTTCAAAGAAGGGAGGAGACAGTGCTCTGGTGAGGACTTAATGTGGCAAAGATGTGGAAGCTCTGAAGGACAGGTTATCCAGTTGCTTAAACACAGGCTGCCTGGCAGAGAGTCCCTGGTGCTTAAGCCTGGAAAGGTAGATAAAAGCTGCATCATGACAGATTTTACACATTAGATAGAGAATTTTTTTCTTAATTTCGCTGAAAATGGGGAGACAGGACATCTAAGTAGAGGAATGATGTGATTGGATGGTCAGATGAGATTTTTAGGTATTACCCCAATACAATCATAGTTACAGTCCCCAAGGCCTCCTGCTTCAATAAATAAACTATTTGCTTTCCCAAAAGGAGGTCGGATACGCCCTAAAGTTTGGAGTGTTCAGTTGCCTCAAAGCTTAACCATATTCACAGACCTCTTTATTCCCATAGAAGATACTTTTTTACATCATTGTGTACCTTTACTTCACAGCATTCATTGTAGTTTGTAAATATACACTTATTTGTGTTATATTTTGGTTAATGTGTCTCCCCCAATAAGATGGTAAGTTCCATGACAGAAGGGTAGTGTCTGTTTGGCCCTCATGGTATTCTTAGGGCCTAGCACATTGCCTGGCATGTAGAAGGCACACCATGAATATTTTGAATGCAGATACGCATGCAGAAAAGCATGAATGCACAGATGCAAAAAAGCATAAAAGCATAAATGAATTGGTTACTAGTATCTTTGGCAGTTTGTATCTTTGCATCATTTGAACCATTGCTCTGACCTTGGCTCTCTCATCCAGTTGGACCCTAGGCATGCATGGAAACACTGGAAATGGAAATTTGTTAAGCAACATAAATTGCAAACATTCCAAACTACAATAGAAAAACACATCTCACAGTAAATGCCGATCGAAGCCCAGAGCAGATGGACGTCCCTCCTGAAGCTGCTGTAGGTAATCTTTTGGTGAGTGTGTCCCTGTCACTGCCACTGTTTATCTGTATGAGTTCACTTTGTACATGGGCAGCACTGTCAAATGTCACCATCCCAACCCAGGACCGCAGCTCAATTATCTGCAGCAGGAAAAGCTGGCCTGCTTGATTCAGTCGATTGAGGCGGTTACCAGTCTAAATGGAGAAGCAAAAGAAAAACAGGTTACATTTAGAAGGAAAGACTAATAACAGAAAAGGCAATAGGGAATTTGGAAGTGGCTGCATGAATGTAGAGCAAATGACCATAAGCTTACTTGAGGTATATCCTAGGGGGAAAAACTTCTTATTTATATTTAGCAGCATCTTTGGGTAGAATTTTAGGGCCAGTGTATAAATAGTAAAAGATAAAACCAGATTACATAATCATTAAAGTTCAATGCATTAGTAATAATTCTAGATAAGTTCTGTATCAGGTGATATGGTTTGGCTCTGTGTCCTCAACCAAATCTCACCTCAAATTGTAATCCCCATAATCCCCACATGTCAACAGAGGGACCTGGTGGGAAGTGATTGGAACATGGAGGTGGTTTCTTCCATGATGTTCTCACTATAGTGAGTGAGTTCTCACAAGATCTAATGTTTTATAAGGGACTCTTCCCACTTTGTGCGTGCTCTCTCTCTCTCTCTCTTTCTCTCTCTCTCACTGTCTCTCCTGCTGCCGTGTAAGACATCCCTGCTTCCCCTTCCACCATGATTGTAAATTTCCTGAGGCCTCCCCAGCCAGGGAGAACTGTGCGTCAATTAAACCTCTTTCCTTTATAGATTACCCAGTCTTGGGTATTTCTTTATAGCAGTATGAGAACAGAGTAATACATCAGGTTGTGGACCTATAGACTTATATATCGTCAGTGAAACATTAAAAATGTTAAGCTCATATAATTCATCAGATCTTGGCTCATAAATTGAAAATTAATTCAATTTGGCAAATGAGATAGTTGATGCTGAATCTTTGTTGAACAAAGGTGAAGTGGGCATTTCTGAAGACAGTGTTATAGTTACAACTATTCTGGCCCTCCGGTTATGTTTATTCCCAACCAGTTCCGAGTCAGGGTCCAGAACATGCATATCTGTGACCAGCATCCAGAAGACCAAGACTCATTGAACATACCGCCATGCTTCCAGATTTATCAAGGACTAAACACACAATTCTTTGTCCAATCTGCAGCAGTGAGAAGGTGGGATTGGGTGGCTGTGTTGTCGTAGGAGTGGTTTTCTTAAAGTCCTCAGAATCACGGATCACTTCCCATGTGCTTCGGAGATTGCATTTTGTATTTTGCATGTTTGGAGCTTCTTTGTTGTGGTTTTGTTCTGTACAGAATTCAACTACCTGAAATTGTCAATGAAATGATATAGATAATGGTAAACTATGTGGTAAAATATTTGATAATTTGTTAGAAATATTTTCTTTTATTTTGAGACAAGGTATCACTTAGTCAGCCGCTGGAGTGCAGTGGCACAATCTTAGCTCACTGCAGCGGCACAATCTTAGCTCACTGCAGCTTCTACCTCCGGGGCTCAAGTAAGCCTTCCACCTCAGCCTCCCGCGTAGTTGGGACCACAGGTTTGTGCCACCATGCCTGGCTTATTTTTGTATTTTTAGTAGAGATGGGGTTTTTCTATGTTGCTCAGGCTGGTCTTGAACTCCTGAGCTAAAGTGATCTGCCCACCTCGGCCTCCCACAGTGCTGGGATTATAGGCATGAGCCACTATGCCCAGCCTGATAGAAATATTCTAAATCCACATTTAAAATAGTTTAATCCTCTGTCCTTTTCCTGTCTGCTCTGCTATTGCATAACCTTGGCTCAATTGCACAATCACTGTAAAACAGTGCTGGGGAAAATCATGGTCATAATGCAGACTTCCCACCTTAAATCAGGCCTTCAATCTCATTAGACCCTTAGTGCTCCTTGGCAATCCATTTACCTCTTCTTTTTGGTTTCCTTCCTACTCCTCAAATTTACCATTTCAAGCCATCACTACTCTCTCCATGGCACCCTTTCCAGCATTCCTCTCTTGGAACCATCTTATCTCTCCATCCTTATACTACCAAACTCCACTTCCTTACTTCCCACTCATTTATTAACACACTGTATTCCAACCTTCAACTCCCAACGTTCCAGCTCTCTCCAAAATCCACTTGGAGGTCTCACATGCTCCTCAAACTCCTCATGTTCATTATTGACCTTATCACCTTCCTCCCATCTACTCCTCCTCCACATGTATTTCCTAACTTGATGTCACCACTATGCACTCCATCACCAAAATTAGGAAACTGGAAGTTTTCCTACCTTTTCCCTCCTAAAAAGTAACCAAGACCAATACATTTCACTGTCTCTCCATTTCATCATCTTTTCTCCATCTCCAATGAAATATCCATCACCCAAGCCATCACAGTCCCTCCCTCAGATGATTGCAGTTTCCTATATAACTTTTCCATCTTGTTTCCTCTCTGTTTGGTCCACCTCCTAGCTGCCTGAGAGTCTTTCCTCTTATTCCTCTGCTTAACACCCTTTGGTGGCTCATGATTGATCATACATTACAATCCACTCCTTCATATACCAACAGCAAACTCTATGACTTGGAACTTTGCTTCCTTCTCCATTCTCATTCTGGCTGTGTGTTCTATGTCTCTTAATTTACCCCACTATAGTCTGTCAGTTCCCAAACTTGCCAACCTTTGGCATCTTTAAGGCTTTGCTTCTCCTCTGTCTTCTATGTTGTAAACTATCTTCATGTTCAGCCAAAAAGTCACTTCTGAAATGTTTCTTCATTTTCTACTCTTCCTACTGAGAATTTCCATTCTGCCCTTTACAGCCTCATAGTATCTTGTAGAAATTTCAATAAGGCCCCTTTAACATTGCAATGCACTTATTGGACTGTAAATCCATCTGATATGGTTTGGTTCTGTGTCCCCACCCAAATCTCATCTTGATTTGTAATCCCCACGTGTTGAGGGAGGGATCTGGTGGGAGGTGATTGGATCATTGAGATGGTTTCCCCCATGCTGTTCTTGTGATACTGAGTGAGTTCCCATGCGATCTGATGATTTTGTAAGTGACAGTTTCCCTTGCATTCTCTCTCTCCTGCCGCCTTATAAGGTGTGCCTTGCTTCCCCTTCACCTTCCACCATGATTGTAAGTTTCCTGAGGCCACCTTAGCCATGTGGAACTGCGAGTCAGTGAAACCTCTTTCATTTATAAATTACCCAGTCTTAGGTATAGTTTATAATGGTGTGAAAATGAACTAATACACCATCTATTACAAAAACCTGCTTCCTAAATTTTGCTTCCTCAAAATTTAGCCCTAGTGTCTGACACATAACAAAAACTCAATATAACTTTGTTGTTTTTTTGACTAACCTTAACCTCCCTGCACCTGAATTATTAAATCTACAAAATAGTGATAGTTATTATGCAGGGATTAAATGAGAATACAGGCACTAGGGTCAATACTAACACAGCCAATAAATGATGGTTCCTTTCCCTTTCCTATGTCATATAACACTTGCTAGTATTTATATCCCTCACATGTGGGGGATTTTTTATTAAGGCATAGTATACAAAAGAGAAGTAACATGATTCCTCCTCTCAGTGACTTTACAATATTATCATTCAATTATAAATCCTAGTATCTAGGATTCTATTAATTTAGAAAGTAATCATTAGTTGTACAACATTTTTCTCTTTATGTGCATTTTTCAGGTCATGTGTTTTGGTAATGTTTTTATGTTATCAGTATGGATACTTTTTAGGAAGAAGACCTGAAAAACTTTTGTGTAAACCCCAGGCAGAGGCTACCACATCTGACTAGGCATCAGATTTAACTCTGTGGCTAATTTAAAATATATAATCTGGGCCTCCTCTTGGAAGTTTCTGAATAGGCCTGGGAATGAACTGCAATGCCAAATTGAAGGACGATGGGCCTGGTGAGCCATGGTGCATCACATTTTAAAAACTTATGCTACATTCCTATTGACAGACTCTTGCAATTTATTTCAACCTCCATTCCAAAAGGAAAATGTAATTTTATATGAGACTGGAAAATAAGAGAGCCTTCCCACTGAAGTCAGTTAACTGATGCCTTCAATCTCATTTTGTGCAAAATTTCTGATTTATATATTTAGCAGTAATATCAATAACTGGCCAAGTTCATTTTATGACCAGTTGGACATTAAAAAAAATTAAGAATTTTAAAACTTTAAAGCTATTTAAACTATATATGCACTCCCTAACGTAACCAATACTCTTAAAAAGATAGAAAATTTCAGTTAGCCAAAAGCAAACATGCAGGCTGAAAAGAACTCTCTGAAAAGTTAAATCAAGAGCCTACTGATCATGTCTTTATTAACTAATAAAAGGAACTGCCTAATCCTCCTGGGTAAAGTCCTTATTTAAGTAAGAATGTGTGTGCTTGTATGCCTTTGTGAGTATTTAAAGTAATCCTAAGCACTTGAACTAAAAACTAGTTGGGGGAGGATGATGGAGAAGAAAGCGTAGACACTTGGAGGGTGAGGGAAAGGAAGATAGGACTTTATCCTTGACTTGCACGCCCAGCTTGTCCCAGAGATAATCCATTGCTCACTGATGATTTCTCTAAACTTTGATTCTCCCTTGGAGCACTTGGAGTAAAAGCCTCACTAAATTCAAAAGAATCTGAAGCGGGGGGGGTGGCAGAGGGGAAAACAAGGTACTTACAGAATCAACATGTTGTGCAAACATTATAGAAGCCTTCTCGGTCTGTTGGGAATGGGGTATAAACTCACATCCTTTTTCGTAGAGTCCTGTTGCTTTATTGAATGTGCATCTTTTGGTGTAACAGCTGCCTCCCTGACACTTGTTTACTTCAGTTTTACCAGTAATACCTACTGAACATCTGAAAATATAGGAAGGTTAGATGTTTAGGTGATGTCATCATTTCAAAGGGTCAGAGTCTATACTCAGTTTCTGACAGATTGGCTTTCTGTGATTTTCCTCTCATGATCCAAGAAACAAGGACATCCCATCATAGCAAAATTGTTAAACTGTCATCAGAGTCATTTCTGTTTGCCAGAAAGTATCTGGGGGGATTACAAAAATGGTATTAGAATGTATTTCTATGCAGCAGAAGAGCCAAGTCTGGCTTAGGGCTGTTGTTAGCATTAATACAGACATAAGTCCTCAGGCACCTCTGAATCTATTCCCTTCATCCCTAGAAGGTCAAGAGCCCTCTTTTATTTCCCACAAAAGATTTGCTGACATTTCTTATTTGTTTGTTTTCTAATTACTTTATTGCATACGACTTTTGCGGAGTTCTGGTATGCTCATAGGTATTTTAAATGTTTCCATGCATTAGGTATTTATGAGTTTTGTTGCTATTACAGTTGGAATGCTTTCCCCCTACATCTTATTGTTTAATTTTATTTTTTAACCATATAACAATGCATGAGCACTATTGAAAATTTGGAAAATGGCAAAAAGCATGAAGAAAAGGAAAAAAACATGTCTCACTATCAGAAATGAGCTACTGTTACCATGTTGAATATGTATATATTAACATAACACTGCACATATAGCTTTGTTTCCTGCTTTAAAAAAACTTAGCATATTTAACTTTTTAATATCATTTATTTATATATTTATATATTATTTAATATTTTTCAAAATGTGGCTGGGTGCGGCGACTTATACCTATAATCCCAGCACTTCGGGAGGCTGAGGTGGGTGGATTGCTTGAGGCCAGGAATTTGAGACCAGCCTGGGCAATGTGGCGAAACCCAACTCTACCAGAAATACAATAAAAATTAGCTGGGCATGGTGGTGTGCACCTGTAATCCCAGCTACTTGGGAAGCTAAGGCACGACAATCACTTGAACCTGAAACGCAGAGGTTGCAGTGAGCTGAGATCGCACCACTGCACTCCAGACTGGGAGACACAGTTGAGACTGACTCAAAAAAAAAAAAAAAAATTTTCAAAATGTGATCTTAATAATTTTATATCGTTTAATACCATCATATGTATTCAGACTAACTTGTTGAACTTAGTTTCCCTTCCCAATTTGTCAGTACTATAAATAAAACATCAATGAATAAACAAAATTTCATATCCAAGTTTGACTGTATTTCAAAATTTGCCCTGTGATTGATTCCCTGAGAAATTACTAGATCCAAAAGTTTGAACATTTTAAAGCCTGTTGATACAGCTTCTCTATCATGTCCTTACAATGCATTTTTAAACATGAAATGCATTTTTAAACATGAAATCACAGGATCAATAAATTTTTAAATTTAATATGTGTCACCCAAATTGCTTTCCAGAAAAGTTACATGAATTTATGCCTCTAACAACCATCTGTGAGAGCTTTCATCCCACTGACAGTAACTTACTAGATAATACATGAACCTCATCCTTGTCAAATTTACATCTCTCATTACTAGTAAGTATGAACATTTTTATTATTGGACATTTTTATTTCATTTCTTTAATTTTCTTTTTCTTGAGACAGGGTCTCACTCTTGTTGCCCAGGCTAGAATGCAGTGGTGTGATCATGGCTCACTGCAGCTTCAACCTCACCCCCAGGCTCAGATGATCCTTCCACCTCAGCCTCTCAAGTAGCCAGGATCACAGGCACGTGCCACCATGCCAGGCCAATTTTTGTATTTTTTGTAGAGAAAGGGTTTCACCGTGTTGCCAAGGCTGGTCTCAAACTCCTGGGCATTTTAATTTCTTCTTTTGTAAATTATCTATCCTTCTCCTTTGTCTGTTTTTCTATTTGGATGTTACTGTTTTACTGATTTTTCAAAAGCTCTTTATGTGTTACAATACTAAGCTTCTAAAGGCTTTCTTTTTTATTTTTGCAAATATCTTTTTCTGTTTTTCCTTTTTATTTAGTTTATGTTTGGTTTATGTGCAACAAAATTTTGAATTTCTATGTAGCCACATTTATTATTCTCTTAGTTATATTTTTCAATGATTGAATGCATTGAAAGAGTTTTGCTATCCAGGGATTTGATACTTATTAACATTCTTCTAGTTTTCATTATGATTTTGCTTTTTATCTTTAAAGAGTTCATCCAATTGGAAAAGAGTCTGTTAATATTTTCCCCACATAGTTAAAAAAATTGTCTATCTCAAGAAATCCTACCTTTCTTCACAGATTTGTAATTCTACCTATAATAACTAAATTATATGTGTAAGTGTAAATATCTGCCCACATTTTTTTTTTTTCTTTTTTTTCTTGAGACAGAGTCTCGTCTGTCGCCCAGGCTGGCGTGCAGTGGCGCGATCTCGGCTCACTGCAAGCTCCACCTCCCAAGTTCACGCCATTCTCCTGCCTCAGCCTCCTGAGTAGCTGGGACTACAGGCGCCCGTCACCACGCCTGGCTAATTTTTTACATTTTTAGTAGAGACGGGATTTCACCGTGTTAGCCAGGAAGGCCTCGATCTCCTGACTCCTGATCCGCCTGCCTCGGCCTCCTAAAGTGCTGGGATTACAGGTGTGGTGAGCCACTGTGCCCAGCCCACATTGTTTTAATTAATGTAGTTTTATAGCATATTTAAAATTTGAAAAGTAAGAATCCCCTTTATGAATTTAGGCCTCTAACAACCATCTGTGAGAGCTTTCATCCCACTGACAGTAACTTACTAGATAATACATGAACCTCATCCTTGTCAAATTTACATCTCTCATTACTACCAGTAATTTCTACCAGTAATACCTACTGAACATCTGAAAATATAGGAAGGTTAGATGTGTAGGTGATGTCGTCATTTCAAAGGGTCAGAGTCTGTGCTCAGTTTCTGACAGATTGCCTTTCTGTGATTTTCCTCTCATGATCCAAGAAACAAGGACGTCTTTTCTCCAAAATGATCTTAGCTACTATCTACTAAACGAACTCTTGGATTTTTTTTAATGAGGTAAAAATTGATGTACTTTTGACTAGAATTTCATAAAACCTATATATGAAATTTGTTTATGTCTTCCATGAATTGAATGTCTCTCAATTTATCTTGGTTTTCTTTTAACCCCTTGAGAAGGATTTTATAGTTTTCTTTAAATATGTCTTCCACATTTTTTAGTGTTGTTTCTACTTTTATTATACCTTTCATTGCTGTCTTGGAGTATTATATTTTTGAACTGGTTATTGCTAATATATGGAAAAGTAATTTGAATATTTATTTTGTACCTGGTCACCTTATTGGCTTCCCTTGTCAATTTTAATTTCAGTTTATTTCCTTGTGTTTTCTAAGTGGATCACAGATCATCTGCGTAACAGTGATTTTCTCTCTTCCTTTCCATCTTTTATCTTTACCTTTTCATCATTTGGCCACAATTTCCTAAGCAAGGTTGAATAATTGTGATAACAGTGGCCATTCTTAGTCCTGGCAGTGTCTCTAGTATTTCCCTATTAAATATGAGTTAGATTGTTGGCTCTCAACAGATGTTCTGTATCATATGAATGAAGTAACCTCCTGTCCTGGGCAGTGCTGTCATTTGTGTGATTGCTTCTAAGCCTTACAAATAATTTAAAAATTTGGAAGATAATGAGCAATACATATTATTAATATATTAAAATTAAAAGGTTTAAAGAGGACATGGTGATCATGTCTTATCTGTGGAAAGAAAAACATGTTGTATATGTACTCATTTCTAGAATATCTCTGGAAAGAAATATTCTATCAGAAAGAATACTGGCACAATCTCGGCTCACTGCAACCTCCACCTCCCGGGTTCAACCAATTCTCCTGCCTCAGCCTCCTGAGTAGCTGGAATTATAGGTGTGTGCCACCACACCTGGCCTGTTTTGTTGTATTTTTAGTAGAGACAGAGTTTTGCCATGTTGGCCAGGCTGGTTTCGAACTCCTGACCTCAGGTGATCCTCCCTGGGCCTCCCAAAGTGCTGGGATTACAGATGTGAGCCACTGTGCCCAGCCTACTTGGTGTCTCTTTACGCCTGAAGAGATCCAACACTAAGGCATAATATAATGGAAATGGACCAAGTGTACAGAGTCTGACTGTTATAAAGAAAGGGAAAAGTAAAGAGCAGTAATGGCCTTGTGGGATAAATGGAAGCCAGAACTGAGTTCTGAGCCCCTTTTGAAAAAGTTGTGCTAGGCCGAGACAGGAATCAAAGCTGAGTGCATCTTCTTAAAGGGCTATCAGGCAAGCAAGACTGGAAGCAGACATGGAGAGGATGCTGTACCAACTTCTACTTAAAAAGAGGGTATTGTTCTTAAATGCAGGAATAAACGTGCATTTTTATCAAGTTTCTTTTGAGAATCTATTGGAACAATCATTTATTTTCTTCTTTTCTTCATGTACTATATTCATTACTTACTATTACAACATTTTTGGATTTCTGGAACACATTCTCACTTGGCTTTAATGTGTTTGTTATTCCCTTAATTTTGCCAGATGTAATTTTCTATCCTTTTATTTGAAATCTTCGCCTCTATCTTTTTAGAGAGGCTGTAGCTACAGAATTTCTTTCATTCCATTTGTCAGATTTTAGTGTCTGAGTTATACTAACTCTTTAAAATACATTGGGAAGTTCCCTATCACTTCTGTTTGCACTAAAGCAGTTTTTGTGCACTGAGACTGCTGGTTGCAAGAATTAGCCCATACATTCACGGCAGCCAAGCGTTCTTTCCAAGGGTTGTGCTTGATTTCTACTGACATCGCGCAAGGTTTAATTCAAACTGGGAGGAGTTTCTGTTTCGCTTTGATATTCAAACTCTTTTTCAGATAAGTTTCACAGTCCCTCCCAAGCCCATTCATACTGATAAAGTCCACACAGATACCATGCTGGGCTGGGTGGGCATAGTGGCTCACACCACCATGATGGCAGAAATAATCCCAGCACTTTGGCAGGCTGAAGTGGGAAGATCTCTTGAGCCCAGGAGTTCAACACCAGCCTGGGCAACATAAGGACACCCTGTCTGTACGAAAACTTAAGACCAGCCTGGGCAACATGGTGAGACTCCATCTCTACGGTAAATATAAAAATTAGTCTGATGTGGTAATGTGTGCCTGTAGTCCCAGCTACTCGGGAGGCTGAGGTGGGAGGATTGCTTGAGTTCGGAGGTTGAAGCTGGGGTGAGCTGTGATAGCATCACTGCACTCCAGCCTGGGTGACAGAGCAACACCCTTTCTCAAAAAAAAAAAAAAAAAAGATATTATTCTGCCCTCAAGGCATTGAAGAGCCTCATTAGCTCTGTTTATGTCACTGGTGCTGTTATGGGATGATGGAGACACTGAACACAGCACCTGTAGATTTTTTATGGTTGGTACAGTTAAAAAAAAAAAAGGAGGCAAATGATTTCTAGCTGCAGAGTGAAGAATTCAATGAACTGAAACACTTGTAAAGTAACAAAACAGTGGTTTTGTGGAACTCTGAAAAAGAAGGCACTAAGAATGAATTTAAATTAGAAAATAAGACAGGACACACATTTTTTAAAGTAATCAATTCAAGAAAAAAAAGGTTGCAATTTAAAATAGTTTGGAACAAGTTAAATAAAAATATACACACCTTACTGCTTGGATTCTTCCATTGGATAAGTAGAATTTCTCATCATTATTGTACTCATCAAATACTCCCCATCGTAGATGAGCCCACTCATGGACAAATGCCCTACCTGTGAGAAAGTATTTTAAAAAACTGATTACAATAAGAATGGCAAAATTACCTTCTCACACTAGGAGAAAGCAATGTTTTGGAATATTTATGCTTTGCTGTGTTAATTTTTTAAATGAAAGACTTGATTTCTTTAGATCTAATATAGCTGTACATTTTCTTGAAATATGAATACTTATTTTGGCTTATCAAATGTTAATCAGGCACCTCGTAAGTGCCAAGCAGCCATTCAGACACAGAGAAACAGCTGCTGTGTCCTCACATAGCTCCTGGTGTAGTGGAGGGCATGTGTGATTAGAAGCTAAAATGCCTGGTGGTGCAGGCATGATGACAGAGGTCAGCAAAGGCGGCTATGGGAGCCCAGGCATTCCCACAGCAGCCGGGGCAACATCCTCAACCAATTCTTCTTCCTCATGGCTCCTATCTCATCAAACCTCAAGGTCTGCTTACTCCATCTCTGTCTGTTTTATTCATTCTCACCTTTCCAGGCCCATTGCCACTTACTCCTGAATTGCTGCAATAGTCACCAGATTGGCTTCCATGTCTCCATCCTTCAGGGAAAGTCCAACTTCTCAACATGGTGTACCAGGTCCCTGATGCCTCAGGCCTGCTCTTCTCTGCAGCCTTGTTTCTTGCTGTTCTCCACTCACTTCTCAAACTCTAGAATTAGGATGAGTTCCTGAACTCCTTTTTTCCTAAGTCACATCATGCTCTTGTTCAACTCTGGTCTTTTTTACCTGTGTTTCCTTAGCTTGGAATACTTCCTTCCTATCTTTGCCTGGATAACTCCTATTCTTCTTTGAAAATCAAGCTTCTGTGTGCCTAGAAGCCTGCCCTGATATCCTCATCCTAGGCCCAGTACTCCCCATTTGCATTTCACTATCTCCCATTAGGAACTTACAATGATAAACAGCCATTGCTACTCAATTGCCAGTCTCCTGCAATAGAAAATGGTCTCCATGAGGACCGACAATATGACTTCTTCACTGTCATATCTGGGCACATAGTGTCTAGAACTTAGCAGGCATTCAGTGATATTTGTTAAACTTGAATGAAATCTTAATGACTTACGTACAGCTCAGTTTTTCTGGAATGTAAATTCCAAGGAAGGCTGAATTTGGACGGTTATGTGAAGTGGGGCATTCTGTGGAAACTCTAGTATCCCACACTAAGGATTGGGACTTTATTTTGTAGGTGTTCGTGGTCTCTTTAAAGGAAGATTGTGAGAGAATAGGAGTGGAGTCACAGTACAGAAAGGAGACATTATAAAGAAATGGTTTTATATATGATCGTGATGGCTGGAGTGGGCTCAGGAGTGGGATGGGGCAGTTAGGTCAATCAATTCAACACTTATTTGTTGAGCCATACATTGAGAATGTTCTGTTCCTGTTATGGAGGTGAAATGTGTTGTAGAACAACAAAGAGGTACGCTTGACACATCCTTTTGATCAGGTCTTTAAGCGCTCTAGTGTATTTGGGAGTGGGGCTTGGATAGTGTTCTGTTTGCTTGTTTTCTCTGCCTTATGTGTTTAAAAAAAGAAAATCAAGCTGGTTCTAGGGGATCCAAACCTTTTTTGAGATAAAGAAATCTAATGCTAGTTATTTAGTAATGAATCACATTTGGTTATACTTGAAAAGTACATTTTATATATATGTCATTACTTAATACTTCCTCCAATAATTATTATGTATACCTCATATATAAATGATAAAGTTTATCATTGGAGTTTTTTCTTTAGTTACATGTTTTTGAGAGCTGAATTGGAAAGGTATTCTGTCTGCTACTCAACGTGTGATCCACAGACCAGTAGAATAAACATCTCCTCTGAGCTTGTTAAAAATGCAGATTCTTGAGTCCCACTCTACACGTAATGAATGAGAATCCACTTTTTTTTTTTTTTTTTTTTTTTTTTTTTTTTTTTTTTTTTGAGACGGTGTCTCACTCTGTCACCCAGACTGGAGTGCAGTGGCGCGATCTCGGCTCACTGCAACCTCCGCCTCCCGGGTTCACGCCATTCTCCTGCCTCAGCCTCCCAAGTAACTGGGACTACAGAGGCGTCCGCCACCACGCCCGGCTAATTTTTTTGTATTTTTTAGTAGAGACGGGTTTCACTGTGTTAGCCAGGATGGTCTTGATTTCCTGACCTCGTGATCCGCCCGCCTCGGTCTCCTAAAGGAGAATCCACATTTTAACAAGATTCATACATAATTTGAATGCACGTCTGAGAACACTGCACATATACGCCATCTCGTGGCTATCATATGAATTGCAGGCAGAAGATTTAATTCCGTTGTCTCCTTACATATCCATACAAACTTAATAATACAAATTAAATTCTTTTACAGTTATAGTATGATGCTACAATAATTTATGAAAATTCAAAATACTATATTTGTACATGTATCTGAAGTAAACTAAATTCATAGCTGAGAAATGCTAGAAATTCTAAGTGAAATGCATGTTCCATTTCAAGTGAAAAATGCGATGATGTTTTAAACTCTAATAGTTTGGCTTATACGTGCTTACTCACAAAGATAATGCTAGTGTTGATACACTTTGAACATAAAATAGTTAAATCGTATGAGACGTATGGTAGAATAGTTCATACCTTGTGGTCCATATTCTTTTAACTTTTTTCCTGCTAGGAAATTAGGAGTGAGGTGGATCCTTTCACCCTTGTCTCCACACTTGCCTATGTGCTCTGTGTAGGGTTCATCACCATCTGGAGGAGTAGACTCAGCAACCAGAACATCAGCCTGAAATTTAAGAAAAAGTTTTTATCATCACAAAGTTTCAGCAAATGAATTAACCATATTCATGCTGGAGTAAGTTTTAAACAATCACGTTTGATTTTAGAGTATTTTGATTTTAAAAAATCTGGGTTACAGGAGGAAGTGGAATTTTAAAGAAGAACTTGATATTCTCACATTTTTGTAGGTCTCGAGTTTTGGTCTCACATAGTCAGCTTTTGTCTTCCATGTTTCCGGAATCAAAATGGCAACATTTTTGAAATAAAATCGTTTTCCTGTAGCTTCAAACAGGTATGGAGATGCCTGGGTCACCATGTCCTGGGAAGAAAAAAATATATACATAATAATTGACTGAAAATAAATTAAATTATCAGTCATTCAAATTCACATCGGGATTTCACATTTTCAAAAGCTAGTTATTTGTTAGGATGGGAAGAAGAAATGTAGAAACACATTTTAATAATAATAGCTAAGCTTTGTGAGCATTTGCCATATACCCTGTGTCATCGAAAAATCACTAGCAATGCAGACTCTAGAGACAGACTCTAATCCTGGCTGCACCACTTTTTGTGGGACATTCGGCAATTTCTAATTCTGAGCCTCAGTTTTCCCATTTACAAAATGGAATATTATATTATAGTGACTGGCTGATAAGGTCGTGGTGAGGAACAAAGTGAAACATGTGATGTGCTAGGAACAATGTTTGCTTCGCACAAGCAAGTATAAAATGTTAGCTACGCATTTCGTTTCACTCGTTCCTTTGAGGATCAATAAATCTTTGAGGGTGAAACTGAGAGTACAATTCTCAAGGTCTCACGGCAAGTAGTAATGAAGAGAAAAAGTGAATGTGATTTTAACACCTGCTGACTCTTGTAATCATTTTGGGATTATATACTAAGTCAAATTAAATGTAATACTAAATGTTATGGTATTATTTATTTATTTATTTATTTTTCTTTTTCTTAAACTTTACCAAGGGCTGATAGAAGTATTTATTTTTTGTACAGCGTGGTACTAAGAGTTAGATATAAGAAAATAGCATAATTATATATTTTCAAATTACACCTTATTTTACTTCTCTAAAATGAAATAGCTACAGTGTTAAATTATAAATGTGTCTGCAGATTCCCTGAGATACATTATGACAAGAGAGCAGGGAGAGTGATAGAAGATACTGTTATAGAAAAGGGGCAGTATAGGCTGGGCGCGGTGGCTCAAGCCTGTAATCCCAGCACTTTGGGAGGCCGAGGCGGGCGGATCACGAGGTCAGGAGATCGAGACCATCCTGGCTAACAGGGTGAAACCCCGTCTCTACTAAAAAATACAAAAAACTAGCCGGGCGAGGTGGCGGGCGCCTGTAGTCCCAGCTACTCGGGAGGCTGAGGCAGGAGAATGACCGGAACCCGGGAGGCGGAGCTTGCAGTGAGCTGAGATCCGGCCACTGCGCTCCAGCCTGGGAGACAGAGCGAGACTCCGTCTCAAAAAAAAAAAAAAAAAAAAAAAAAATGCCAAAATACGTTACGGCGCAGGTGCATGGGCGCCTGTAGTCCCAGCTACTCGGGAGGCTGAGGCAGGAGAATGACCGGAACCTGAGGCGGAGCTTGCAGTGAGCGTGAGATCCGGCCACTGCGCTCCAGCCTGGGAAAGCACAGAGCCTAATGACCAAGCCCACGTTGAAGCAAAAAGAGTTGTTTAGTAGGAATAAAAAAAAAAAAAAAAAAAAAAAAAAAAAAAAAAAGAAAAGGGGCAGTATGTCTGTTAGGACTGAAAACCATTTGCTTCGAAAGTGAGCATAGACAGGAAAGAAGAGGCTGAAGACTGAGCCTAGTGAATGTGGGGGACCCCAGCATTCAGAGGTAGGAAGAGGAGGAGCCAGTACAGGGGCCTCAGAAGGGCAGCCAGTGCCTGCAGAGGAAATGAGGAGCTGTGGGATGAGAGTGTTGTAGGGAGGAGGGCGTGATCATCAGTGTCAAGCACTGCTGAGCCATCACTTCATATGAGGACTAAGAACTGATTGCTGGACTTGGCAGCATGGTGAGCCCTTGTGGCAGAATAAAGACAGCAGCTCCATAGAGTGGATTCGAGAAAGTGGGAGGTGAGGCAGTGGAGACAGTGAGTACAGACAACAACAGGTTCAGAAGTTTTTCTGTGAACTAAAGGGGAATGGAGAAATAGGCAGTAGCTGGAAGTGGACTTCAGGACAAGACAGTTTTGTTTGTTTTAATGGGAACTATTGTACAATATTTCTATGCTAATGGAAAAAAACCCAAAAATGTAAGAGAAAAAGGGGTCATTGCAGGAGCAAAGTCCTTGTGGGAACAGACCAGAGTGACCAGACTCCATTGCCTAGTGGGGGTCATCTTCGGAGCGGAAACACTCCATCATTTTATGGGGAAGCAGCACTTGGGGATTAGTGCACGGGGGAATCCTGCTGTGCCTCTTCCTAAGAGGTCAACTTGAGGAACTTATTTTACCTCTCTGAACCTCAGTTTCTCCCTTTCAAATAGTGATAATAATGGTTGCCTCTATTTTTTTAAGTGTTCTTAATGATTTACATTTTTTTCTTCTAAAACTCCTGGATTTTTAACACTCACTAGGAGAGTTTAATATTATGTCACTTTAAAAAAATAAAATTAAAAAATGAGCCAAGATCACCAAAAACTTGAAAAGTAGGTATAAAACTTCACATATTAGAGTATTATATTACCATTTGACTTGTGAAATGGGAATTTCCAATGTCTCCCAGGAAGAATAAGTAACATGGAATGCTCTTGTCTTCCACATTGTAATAGAAACAATAATAAGGGATCTTTGTTTTGGCATCTGTTCCAGATTTTTAGAAAATGACCTCACATCCTAATACACACTTAGACTCTCAGGCTGAGAGAAGGTTGGGGGTGACAGTTTATAGGATGGGCTAGAAATTCCTTCAGGACAGGGACAGTATATTGACCATTGGACTTCGAGTACCTGACATAATTTAGATGTTCCGTAAATATTTGTTGAATGAATAAACAAATGAATGGATAAATAAAGTGGGTTTGGTAAGTGACAAACTGGTATAGAAGTGCCAAGACAGGCAGTGCGTGGGGTCCTGTGCATTGCCCAGACTCCAAAATAACCCTATTGTGTACCTTCTTGTGTGTGTGTGTGCGCGCGTGTGTATGTCTGCGTGTGTACATGGGCATGTGTGTGTATGTATATTTGATGGAGGGGAGAGTTTCTCTCTGACTCTCCCTTCCTCAGCTTGTGACGTGTACTCACCCTACTAATATTAGCAAGAATGCAGTGGATGGAAGTGATGCAGAGCCATCAACTGCTCTTGTAGGTAGAGAAATCTGGGGACTGTCCTGCTGAAGCAAGTATTTTAAAGGCTGACTTAGAGGCTTCTGTCCCCACAGGGGCACCAGGGGAGAGCCTCTCATCAGCAAGAAGGTTGTTGGAGCAGAGGGAGGAATGGTCAGGAAAGGTGGCCAAGCCCTCGACGAGGTCCCTCAACTCTGCAGATCTGGCACATCGAATAGGAGGGAATTAGGGTCTCTGAGCATTCTATTCACTTAAGTGTTCTTGTTACAGAGAAGGAAATGATGGAAGCCATCATTATCTCACCCCCAACTTCAGGATCCATACTAGAAAGCCAATTTAATAATTGTAGTGAGAAGTACATATCTCAGGAAGAAAACCTCCAAGGACAATGAAGTGGAAGCACTTTAAAAGCTCTAAGCACTATATACTGTAGATACAAATTACCAGGGTCATTGAAGATGAATATGGCATCTACATTCTCCTTCTGGCATATTGCTGAACCCCACTGTCTAGCCAGAGACTGAAACACACTGGTCACATGTTTGCTGATGCCACTTCCAAATTTAGAAACAATCAAAAACTCACTCAACATTTTAGATGATTGAGAGATTCAAGAGGTCTGAATCCCCCTTTTATCACAGACAGCCTGAGTCTCTTTGGGTTAAGTAGGTAAACTTTATGGTGAATGACACCCTCCACTCTGTTCCCCATCCCCTACTGCTCCAATTCTCTAACCACACACTCCCGGCAGGTAGAGACGGTTTTCTTCCCAAACATTATCTTTCTGTATTTGCCTCTGCTTAGAGCAATGGATCTCTGGGGAAACCCCTCTGGGCCCTTGTTCTATTAATTTTCCATCTAGAGAGAGCTGATGACTATATCTACCATTTATTGAGCTCTTACTATGTACCAGGCACTAATGCATGCATTTTTAAAGTTATTTTTTAAAGTTCTGAGATAAATTTAGATTAACAGAAGACATGCAAAATATTGCACTGTATTCTTACATACTCCACCCAGCTTCCCTTTATAGGCATGCATTTTAAACTTTGATCCTCACAAAATCCAATAAGAGAGATATTTATTATTACTCTTCCCATTTTACAGACTAGTCCTCTTACTAGTACAGCACTGCCTCTGGATGTGCTACAACCAGATTCCGGGGTGGTCTTTCATAAAGCATTTCCCTCTTAGTTTTAGCTGCTTGCTGTTGTACAAGACCTTCTTCAATGGTATAGATGCCCCTGCCAGGACAGGAAGTCTTCTTCCTTTCCCTTCTGCTATGTAAGAGGTAGCAAGAAATCCTTGAAAGGATCCCTTGAATTGGGGCTGATAAAATGCAAGGTTTTCTCCCATCAGAGGGTCAGGGTTGTTCTTACATCAGAGATTTGTATCTTGGGCTTCCTTTAGGATCACAGGGAAGGGGGTTCCAATTAGGAGAATAAAAGGAGAGCCTGATACGTGCCAAGGGTAAAATCAGGCAAAGGATCTGTGCATCTCACAATATCTGTCAAATGTAGCTGACCCTGCCGTACTATAGAACTAAATTTTCAGTGACATAATCCACAGCAGTACATATCAATTTATCATTTATCAATTGCCAACAATGTATCACTCTGAGTTATGTGCATTGCATTTATTATCTTATCCGACAGAAGAATCCTAATGGTTAACTTATTATTTCCATTTTACAGATGAAGAAACTGAAACTTAGACATAAAAGTACATGCCAGTGTCGTGCAGCTGGAATAGGGCACTCATGTTCTCTCTGTCACAACATTATGCTATGTTTTAAAAAGCATGAGTAATTACTAAGAACTTACCTTTATTTGTTGAATGAGTGTTTCATCTTCTGGCACATTGGGGTCGATTGCAATGACAATGCCTTCATAGCCATTGTTGTTCAGCTGAATGAGTGAATTACTCAGGGCCCCTTCTAGAAGGTGAAGAATCAAGATGAACACAGAACTCCTGAATGGCCCCATTGCTGTACATCTCCCTGTGGTTTCTCTCTTTGGAAAATGTGGGTTATGAAGGTGTCTTTCTTTACCATTATATATAAAGACACACATTTCCAACTTGTCAGAGGTGATTTATCACAGGTCTTTGTGTTTTACTATTGCTTTTGTATTCAGTAGGAGAATGATAACAATATCTTAGTCTCAAATTGTGTACTTGTAAATATTTCAGTTTGCCTTCAGGTGTGCCAGATGCTGGGGTAAGGGTGGGGGAGCCCACATCCGGTTCCTTGGAAGTCTTCACAGGTGACAAGCAGCTTGGCCATTGATAGGTTTGTTTACTTATTAGAAATGTTTACCCAGCCATGGACACCAACCCACCCAAAGTTACCCCAACCCCTTCCTGCCTAGGAACATTCAGACTGTTCTGCATATTCAATAAACATCTTGTAAGCCATATATCTAGTTATCCCTCATGGTGGTCTTTACCACAATGGTGGTTTTGTTTACCTTGACATAACCTCAACACCTCTTCATGCTCCCCTTAAATAAGAAAATATTCAATTATATTCCACATCCATTTGTACCAAAAGCATTAGTAAGTGATGTAGATATTATTGAATATTTTATAATGGAGAGTAAAGATAACATGTATATCTTACTTTACAAAGCATACTCCTTCAAGTTCCTCATCAGACCTCTGCTTTCTCTATTCCATAGCTCCTACCAGTCAATAAAATTCCAATTAACAACATTAAATTATTTTGCCGAAACGAAATGTCCCTTGGAACATGAATTACGGACTGTCAGCAGCTGTATATATTCTTTCCATTTGCCAAACCTCAGGTGGAACCTCAAATTGGCCCACCATTTTCTTATATTGAAATACTTGAAATATCTTTACATCCATAACTTCATTTGGTCTTCAGATGGTGGTAAGCATCAATTTCATCTTGTCTGTGCCTTTTCATAAAAATTAAATCAGTACTTTTTGCTAGCATAATCTTAAGCAATTAAAAGGGAAACACTGAAATAGAGTAGAAATACTCAATTATAATGTGGTTGTCCAGATGATCCAAAATATGCTTTTATATCAAAATATGTATACATTTATTATACAAAATTTAAAAATTTAGATTCCAAGTTATCTCAGACTCCAAATGTATGTGCCTAGGTTCCCTGAAAAACAGAGCCTAAGGCAGTCATATGTGCTAAGAGTTTGAGAGTTTAATCCCAGAGCAGTGAGAATGAGGGAATGGGGAAATGAGTCAGGCAAGGCTGGGAATCATTACTGAAGGAGGAGCATTACTAAGTCATGCATCTGAGAGACCCAGCAGGCCAGCCCACAGGTACCCTTGCCTTCCTGTGTGGGATGTCTCCTGAGGGGCTGTGCAAAGAAACCACGCCTTGGAGCAGCCCTTTGGAGAGAGGAAGGAAAAGCATTTGGCTCCTAATCTTCTACAGGTGATCATCTCCCCCTAGACTTTCTGGCTGTGTCATCCAGCCCTTTCAGCAGTTGCTTAGAAAGAGAGACCTCCATGCCTTGTGGTATGTGAGGAGCCAGGGGTTACAAGAGGTTCCACCTTGACCTCAGGCAGTGGAACTGCTTGGACCTGCAAGGAGTGGATAGTGACTGAGGTGGAGCAAGTGACTGAGTGCCCAGTAGACAGATGGAACCAAGCAAGTCTGAGGAGGTTCAATAAGAAGAGTATGATATAGTTCACTCTTTGAGCTGCTCAGATTCACTCTTGTACTTTCATCATATCTAGCTCCAGTATTATAATGTGGGATTTGCATTTCTCTGTGTGTGAGCACAAGCTGTCTCACTTTTTCCCTGAGAGAAGGTACAAGTTTAATCATTTACAGAATCTCCTTCAAAGTGGTGGTCAATTGCAATCTGCTCAAACGCATAAGGCAAGAGGGTTGTTGAAATAAATTGCAATGCCTGCTGCTACAGCTGGTCTCAAGACATTTATAATCTCCCTCCTTTATCGCCTATTTCCTTCACTTTTACTCAGCATTTTGGCTGATCTGTATTGTTTGCTCTCTTGTTGGGGTAATCCCACCTTTCATCCCTTAGTGGGGTCTTTAGTTGTCTTGCCCTTGTTGGCTGCAGCTGCTGCATTTCCCTATGACAGGGGTCATCTGGTGTGACAGACCCAGTTTAAGTGCTCTCCAAATTTGCTTGGCATCCCCTGCAAGTTGGGTCTTGGCTGCTTGCTCAATGGATAGTCTTGGCTGCTGCTAAAATTCACACATCTCCTAAAACCAGTGTTTCTTCTTAGCTTTCCCCAGGAAGAAGGTCTAGTTTAGCATGGCCTTCACTGTGCAGACTGTGTGGGCAGCTCCTCCATTCTCTCCCGTGCCCAAGTCTGGCTTGAAACGGATGCGCGGAGGCTTTGGCTCAGATAAAGCACTGCACCATGGCACTGGGATCTGGCTTTGTCAGAGGCAGCCCAAATGGGCCAAATAACACAAACCAGAGGTGCAGGGACAAGCTTTCACCAAAGAATATTTCCAGCATTCTGGAAGTTTCCTTTGCATTCCCTTCCAATCAATCCCCCAAAAAGATAATCGCTGTTCTGACTTCTATTGCCACATAGGTTAATTTTGCCTGTTTTTGAACTTCATATAAACAGAAATATGCCATATGTACTCTTGCATTTGGTTACTGTGACATAACGTTTTCTATAAGAGATTCAGCCAAGTTGTTGAATATAGCAGTAATATGTTCTTTTTCCATTGCATTCAATTGTAAAAATATACTACGATTTACTTACCACCTGTTCTTGATGAACATCTGGACTATTTCCAGTTTGGGGCTATTATGAATGAAGCTACCATGGATGTAAGCATTGATTTCAGTTGCGAATATACAAAGAGTGACATTGCTGGGTGACAGGGTATACATCTGTCTAGTGACAAAGACTCCTTCCTTTGACTAAAACTTAAGTCAGGATCCTGAGTCTTCTCTGACTAGGTCTGACCTTGGGCTTCCCTCTCTGTCCTTGCAGAATCCAGTTTGAGCAAGAATCCTGCTAAGTCAGTTTAGGGAAAATCCCCACCTTTGGTATCTGACCATTCTCAGCATCTTTCCACCATGGTCTGCCTTCAGCAATAACCCTATTGAGTCAGTTTAGCCAGACATTCCTTATCCTTGATGTTTCCTCTTAGGCATTTTTCATCCACTGACCCCAGCCTTCTCCTTGGTTATAAATTCCCACTTGTCCTTATTGGAGTTGGCGTTAATCCACTCTCTCTCCCCAACTGCAAGACCTCCTTGCAATGGTCCTTGTACCTATCTCCATGGCCCCCACCCCTTAACATCTTTAACAAGTGTTTGCATGAAGTTTTTCTTTGATACTAGCTTATGTTGATCTCCCAAATACTTTTCAAGTGGTTGTTCAAGTTATTCCACATTCCAAGTACATTGTACTATCAGTCTTTCTAACTATATTCATTTTCTTGGGAGTATAGTCATATTATTTGGTGGTTTTGATTTGCATTTTCCCTAATGACTAATGTTGTTAGAGACCTTTTTATATACATATTGGTCTTTTGTGAAGTGTCTCTTCAAGGTTTTTTTTGCACAATTTTTAATTAAATTGTCTTTTTCTGATTGATTTACGGGAGTTCTTTATATGTTCTGGATACTGAGTTTTTGTACTGAAAGATATATTGAAAATATCTTCTCCTAGTTTGTGGCTTGCCTTAATAGTATCATTAGATGAATAGAGGTTTTTAATTTTAGTATAGTCCAATTTAATCTTTTATGTGTAATGCTTTTGTGTCATATTTAAGACAGCTTCCCCAAATTCATGAAGATATTATACAATATATGATTCTAGAAGCCTTGCTGCTTAACCTTTAATGTTTAGGTATACTGATCTATCTCAAAATATTTTTGTGTATGGTGTGAGGAAAGGTTCAAGGTTTTTGTTTTGTTTTGTTTTCCTCTGTGATAGCCAGTAAGCCAAGGGCATTTATTGAAAAGACCATATTTCCCCTACTTAATTACAGTTGTGCTTTTGTTGTGCTTAGGTGACTACAGATGTGCAGGTCTGCTTCTGAACTCTCTGTTCTGTTCCTTGTTCCATTGGTCTGTGTGACTATCCTTACCTTGATTATCTGGTAGTGTAAACAGTCCAGATTCGTTTTTATTGAAGACTATTTTGGCTACATTAGGTGCATTTCATATATAAAATTTAAAAGCAGCTCGTCAATTTCACATACAAAAAATCTGGATTTTATAGGAGTGCATTAAATTTATAGATCAATTTTAGAAAAATTGACATCTTCATGATATTGTGTATTTCAAATTATGGAGATGGTGTGTCTCTTCACTTTAAGTTTTACTTAATTTGTCTGAACTGTGGTTTATAGTTTCAGGATAGGTATCTTGTGCATCTTTCATTAGATTTATTCTTAGGGGTTTTTCTTGGTGCTATTGTAAACAGTATTTTTATAAAATTCAATTTTCTAAGTGCTTATTGCTGGTGTATACAAATAAAATAAATTTTTATGTATGGACCTTAAATTTAGTGAACTTGTTTAATTCACTTATTTCTAGTATTTGTAGATTCTTTTGGATTTTATATGTATATAATTATGTCATCTGTGAGTAATAACATATTGATTCTTCTTTTCCAATATTTTTGTTTCCTTCTCTTATTGGACTAGCTAGGACCTTGAGTACAATATTGAATGTGAAGAGAATGGATATCTTTTTTCTTGTTCCTAATCTCAGAGAGAAAAACATTCTAAAGAATTCTATATTTTACCATTAAGTATGCTGTTACCTAGAGATATTTTTAGATACCTTTATCAGATTGAGAAAGTCTCTTTGGGCCAGGTGCAGTAGTTCACACCTGTAATCCCAGAATTTTGAGAGGCCAAGGCAGGAGGACTGCTTGAGTTTGAGGCCAGACTGGGCAACATGGTAAAATCCCATCTTTGCAAAAAATACAAGAATTAGCCAAGTGTGGTGCCATGTCCCTGTAGTCCCAGCTACTTGGGAGGCTGGGGTGGGAGGATTGCTTAAGCCCAGGAGAGCCACTGTACTCCTACAATCCTGCCTCTCACTCTCACTTTGAATAGAGTGAGACCCTGAGACCCTGTCTTTAAAAAAAAAAAAAGTATTTTTCTATTCCTAGTTTTCTGAAAGGTGTTTTTGTTGTTGTTGTTGTTAAATCATGAATAGGTGTTGAATCTTATCAAATGCTCTTTATACATCTATTAAGATGAGTATATAATTTTTCTTCTTTGTTCTGATAACATGACAAGTTACAATGATTGATTCTTCAATGTTAAGTCACTCTTACATTCCTAGAGTAAATCTTAGTTGATCATGATGTAGCATCCTTTTCAATTTGCTAATATGTTGCTTAGGTGTTTTGCATATTTGTTCATAAGACTGGTGTGTACTTTTCCTTTCTTGTAGTGTCCTTGCCAAGTATCAGTATCAAGGATATTCTGAGGCTGGGCATGGTAACTCACGCCTGTAACCCCAATACTTTGGGAGGCTGAGGCAGGCAGATGACTTGGGTCCAAGAGTTTAAGACCTGCCTGGCCAACATGGCGAAACCCTATCTCTACAAAA